GATGACAATAGGTTAGGTACCATCTCTATCCTCGTTATTGGCAGATATGAGGATTCCTATAGGGTTTTTTTAATGAAGGTCAAAAAATACCCTCCAACCCCATCTTTGCAAAGAATAAGAGGTTCCTACAGGTATGAGGAATTTCCACGAAAGTATACAAATTTTTTTTTTTGATTATATATAAAAATATTTTAATTCATTCAATTTTTAGCCCAACAAATTCCAAAAACATTTTTGAAAAATTAGTTATTTCCAAGTATTTTTTCTTTTAAAAAAAAAGTAAGCTTTGCCTAACCAAAAAATAATAATAATAAAGTTAAATATAAATTAAGAGAAATTCATTAAATAAAGAGGTAGAGTAGGGAGGAGTTAAGGTAATAGAGAGGAGATATGTGAGACTTAAAGTTTTTGTAGCTAGAATTTATGGATTTGAGAGTTGAGATAGTTGAGTTTAATATAATTTATAATTTTTCATTAATTTATGATTTCTCACGAGGAATTTGCAAGAATGGAGAAATTTTTTACAAAATTTTATGAGAGAAAAATCACCTCTATTCCTACTTCATGAGGAGAAATATTGTAAAAATTTCTATCCTCATGACGAAGATTCCCACAAAGTTCAGTGGGTTATAAACAAACTTGCATGAGTTGTGAAAGAAATTACCGTCCCTAACAATTAATTAGTACTAGTTAGTACCACATTTGGGCTAGATCATTTGTATATTTAGAAGCAAATTAAATGCATATATATATATTTAGGATTTTCTAAAACTGTTTGATTGGCCTCTGTTTAACATTGTTTTTCCCACATTTTTTCCCATTCTTTTAAATATGGTTAAATGCAAATTTTAGTTTTTTAATTTTAAAGTTTTATATAGTTTTGATTCTTTAAATTTTTTATATTTTTTTGATCTTTAACTAAAAAACAATCTTAACTTATATAATTAGGACATAAGTTAAAAAATAAATACTCATCAATCACCAGCTTCATATTGTCCACCTCACAACCCACATTTAATGTGATTAAGCCCAGAAAATTAAAAAGCACGCAACAAGTTATTAGCATTTAGGCATGCCACTACCTTGTTAGCTGCCCTAACCAGTTCAAGCAGTTGAAACATCCGTAGCCGTATTTTGATTTGTATCAACTAACTCAACTTAACCCAAGGCTGCTGTCCCAACGGTTCGGCCCGAAGTCTTAGGATTTAGGTGAAACAGATATCAGAGTTTTAAACTTTGCTATCATTGTAAATTTTATCAATTTATGGTCTAATGGCTGCACGCCTTATTTGAAAGGATGAAATGTTTATTATTTTGGGAATCTCAGTTATTAACAACTAACTTCTTAACCATTACTCTTATCAAAAAAAAAAAAAAAAAAAAAAAAAAAAAA